GAGATTAAATAATAGTCTATTCTTGTCACTGCTGTCTGGTCCAAGTTGCCCTCAATACTGGTAGGGTGATGGTCCTGAGTGCTGGTCACACTGAGGTAGGATAGTAGGAACAGGGGGTGCGCTGGGAGTACTAACGTGGGGATGGGTAGGGTAGGTGGCCTATCCTGTCAGGACAACCATTGGCTGCCGCTACCAGCAATCACCGCGGGTCTGGTCCTTCGCCTCTACAACACCCTGGGCTTAAAAAAAAAAAAATGATCCCCCCAGATCAGGGCACAAATTACCGCTCTGGCTCTGTGCCACATACGACCAATCTCTCAGGCCGGTGGAGTCTTCAGGAACGAAGCCAAGAAGCACCCACTTTTCGTCCCACTCGACTCCCCTAACCCCCATCAAATGCCAGTGGGCGGCCCACCAGTGCCATATGCGCTTGGATGCCGGGCACTCCCACCACAGCTGTCGCATGGATTCAAACGGACACCTGCAGCGGGTGCAGCCCAGCTCCACCTCCACCCCCCGGGCACATAGCCATACTGCAGAGGGCGTCACCAGAAGTGAGAGCTTTACATTCGGCAGGTCTAATAGTAGCCTCCGCCGACTTCCTGAAGTTCTCTGACTACTCCTGGAGGTCCAACGGGAGTACAGCGCTCCATCTTGCAATTGCTACAGAAGCCAGAGTTCTCGATGGCCTAGCTGAAACCATGCAGGATAGACCGTAAGGTTCAGTCCCTGTGGATGCGCCCTTGTAGTCCTTCCTCCAGACCAACTCCATTCTTCTGGGTCAATCGAGAGGTTGCGGAGAGTGGTCTGTCCTACCCACTGAATCAGGGTCATGTTTCCTCTTCCATCCCGCCTCTGTAACACCCGAATCTGTGGCGGGTTGTCCCAGATCTGAATCGTGCGTTCTTGTCCTTCACCCAGTCTGCCATCCGTGGGACATACCATCCACTCTGTCACCCTCCTGAACCCACTCTTTGTCACCCCCTGCAGTCTCCACACTGTGGGGGGGCTGTTGGGACCACTGGGTCTTGCCCGGCCGGCCCCAGCAGGTCCTTCCACGATTGTGGGATAGCCTGCTTAATTGATTTCAGATGATTCTCCACGTTTCTCAATCCCTGTAGCTCCTCATGCACTTCCTCCCCTTGCCTCCATGTTCCCAATAAGGGATCCCAAAGATCAACAACTGTCGTTACACCCCGCTGGGCCCAGGCCTTCCCAAAGGAACCAGGCGCCAAGTTAGCTAGGAATTCATTCCCTTCTCCATCTGTTACCATGGGGTTTTCAAAGAGGCACTGCCTCAATACTTCTTCTTTCGTCACCGGGGAGGTTCTTCTGTCCGGAGGGTGATCCACCCAAGCTCTGCGGACTGCTTCCCAGAATTCCGACTTCAGTCTTCGCCGCGTAAAGGATCTGATGGGAAAAGCAGTTCCGCACGTCACCAGGTCTGCTCAGCTGCCATTCATGCATTAGGATTCGCTCCCCCAACAACAGGCAATCCTCCCCGTGTTCCGCTAGTGCCACTTTTGCCAGCCATAACCTGAGATGTGCCTGGTTTTTGCGGTGAGAGTCTGTCAGCCCCAAGCCTCTTTGCTCCTTGTCCTGTATGATGAGATCCCAAGCCGTCTTAACGAAGAATTCGCCCTCCAACCCGGCTCTTGGTTTCCATAGAAACCTTGTGACCAGCCGTTTGATTTCTGAGATCACCGGCCCTGAAATCTCCCTCACCATAGCTATAAACCAGAGCAGCGAGAATAGTGCTGAGTTTATCACTAATGCCCGGCCAAACAGCGACTCAGGAAACCGCATAGATCTCAGACTAATTCTGTAAGGGTTTGAGAAGTTTGATTATTTGAAGAGGATAAGAAAGGGAGATGACACTGGTTTCAAACTTGTGTCTGTTCTTCTTCTTCTATACTCTACATTCTACTCCCCTCTTTGTCTCTTTCCACTTTTTACGTTCAGCAAGTCGTGTTGCCGACGGACTGCCAGAGGAGAGTGCCTGCATCACCCTCTCTAGTGAGTCAGCACTGATGTCCGGGTTGCACAGTCTGATGGTTAGCACCCCTTGATTGGTCGACTGTCAACCAGCCGACCGGTTGGATGGTTCACACCTACCGGTCGGCGTTTATCAGCACCCCACAAAAAAAAGGAGTCCACAAACCCAAATAACCCCACTGACACCACCATACCCCCCC